TTGAGTGGAATGGTACACTAGTATTTTCCAGTACGACTGGATGCTCAGAGTTGTTTGCAGGATGCATTAACCAATATAACACCAGTACTTTACTCCGTATTTGCATGCAGAGCTTGCAGTCAAAAACCTTGATGGATGAGTTGTGGAGTAACCCTTCCTGCCTGCACCGTTCTACCAGCACACAGAAGCCATAACACAAAGGCAGATTTAGAGAGGATATAAAGCTACTGTAACTGGCTGTGCTGCAATCAGACAAGCAGGCTCATTTAATCATTTCCAATGTTAAATGTCAGAGGGCCTGAGCTGAGTGATAAAATATACTGCAGGCCCATTAACAGCACGCCAGTCAAGCAACAAGCCTGGGATGGGTTTTATCTGCTAAAAGGGAAGGACAGGGTGACACGTTGTCTTTCACACTTCTTTACAGAACATTATTAAACGGATCTTCTGTTTAGGTTTCAAAAGGAATTCATTTTAAGAGCAGTTGCTTTTTGCACATTTTACAGAATGGTGGTTTTCCTGTTCTACAACTCTCCCTAACCTTTAAGTAGTCGAATAAGAGTGGAGAATGTGTGTTGATGTATACCTTTTACCGTTTTGGGGAACGCGGTTGGTTGCAAAGTGCAGACAAATGCATGAGGATAGTGCACTCTTTTAGTTATAGAGAGTGTCATTCTTTAGAAAGAAGCCACGTTAGCATTGCTGAACTTCTGACTACTCCATCTGTGCTGGAGTCTAGCACACTTGTGGTGTGAATAAATAACATGCTACGATAATGACAGTTGTTAGCTATAGTTGCATGTTAGGAAGAAAATAGCTCGTATGGCAAACTAGCTTCCAGAAAAATATACTGTTTTACAATCTTCTTCCATGGCAGTAGATACATTTTCTAAAGGGCACTTCAACCCACACAGTGCCTTATTTGTCACTTTAATGCCAAACAATTCAGTTTAAGTGAGCTTCATTTAGATTCAAATGTTTGTGACTTTAAAATTGTTGGGCATAATGGTATGTTTTGTCTCTGTGTACAAGACTGAGACTGTCTGGTTAGGTGCAGTATGTCATTTTATGCACCCTAAATTGGGAAAATCTAAGCCTGGAACAAGTTGTTGATGCTTTGTTGTCAGCAGATCATTAAATTGTCTTCCTAGCAGAGACAAAACCATGATGGGCTGTATTTTCCTGAGGTTTTTGTCAAACACCATGAATGTGGTGCAATGAGAAGAGTCTAACCCTAAAAATGTTTTAGGAATATTTGGGGTACAAACATGTGAGCTGTTTATCAAATTATCTTCAGGTTGATTGTAAATTTAAACTGTAAACGTTGTACTTAAGTGGCAGGCATCTGAAGTTAAAGGAGTCCTACACTGTTTATTTTAATACATCTGTTTGTGTTCTCTAGGATGAATTCGTTCTCTGAGTCATTATCTGTGGAAAAGTTCTGGATTTCCTTTGTCAGGAAGTAAAAAGTAGTTAGAAGAGTCGCGGGCACAGAACAGCAGGATTTGAAGTCATCCTCATTAATATTCATGGTATACAAACATCTTGCCTCTGATTGGTTAACAGCAAAGGAACTCTTCCACTGCTTTCATTTGCCCTTGTTTGTTGGGTTCGTATGGCGTTGAAGTGTTATCTCTACAAATGACACAAGCTGAATGTGTTCTGCCAGTTCTGTAGTTGCTAGTGCTAATGGTTAGCTTGCACCGTCTGGGAAGTACTCTGATCTTCCCTGGCAGCAAAGCAAACCCCATTCTCTGCAGTCTCAAGCCCATGAAGACAGATTTTTACATGCCATGCCAGAAAAAGGATATATTGTGTTAGTCAGGCTGAAGTCGGGACTTTAAATGCATGTAAACACGGCTAACTGGCTCACTCCTAATCGAGCCAAGGCACGCAGATGATGTGATTGTAAAACCGAACGTTTCTGCATATAAATAGCATCTCAGCTTAGCCAAGCCATTGCAGACCTGGTTTTCCTTTAAATTTTGAAACAAATTTAGATGTAACCCAATTCTACTAATAGAGTAAACAACGGCTGCAAATCCAAAAAGAAATGCACAGATTTAGCTTTGGTGCAGAACTGAAACCAGGTTCCAATTACTTTTTACCCTGAAGACAAGACCAGCGGGGTTTGTTAGCTTTCAATCAAAGAGCTGCAACATTGTCAGCTCTTAGGCGACACTTCCTTCTGCCCTCTTGAACCCGTTGGCTTATAAGTCCGGCCAAGCCTGACAAGCAATAGGAGGCTTGTCTTCTGTTGGTAAGAGATGGGCCACAGGCAGGAGGACAGGAGTCAGATAAAGCTTAAATCATGAGAGGACAGCATGGAGAGGATGTCAGCAGACCCTTTCACTTTTCATTACCACACTACACTGAGCACTAAAAGGAATGTGATGGATTTGTGATCAACATGAACCAGCTCTCTTGTTTTTCTTCCATTTCTGCTTCTCTCTGGTTTCCTCCATCCTCCATCCCAACCTTTTCGTAGTAAGATTTCTTGAAGCATTGTTTTGTTCACGCTGGCTGCTTCACAGCCCTTTTGTCTCATTTGAGCAAGCATCTTGTTGGATTTATTATGATGGGAAGAGCGAGCTCGGCACATTGAATTGACAGGAAAATGGTAAATGTTTCTGGCGGGTGCTGTTGGGGAAAAACCGTTTATAGAACAACTAGGTGCTTTGATGAAAAAGAAGTTATAAAACGGCCATCAATTTCTGTTATTTCAGCCATTTGTTCAGATATACACTCTCGCTCCCTTTTCTTCTTTTTCCCTGCAAGGTCGAAGGAAACACCCACAAAAAGAAAAATGTACAACCCTGATCCCAGCGTAAAAATACAAATGCATGCAAGAGTGAATTCTCACCAACTAAAAGAAAATGGCTCATTTAGCAGGAATTTTGCTAAAACAAGGGTTATTGTTGCTTCATTTCTTTCATTTTCCTCTTTTTTCTGCTATAGATTGTTTCACTGTTTCTGCTGGAATCACTTAACTGACAGACTAGCATTAAAATGTGTTAAACAAAACAAAATATAATGTACTCAGAATGTAAATAACATGTTTAACCCTCCCACTGTCTTCATGGGTGACCCCGAGAGGAAAGCTGACCATTGAGCAGGATTGATGGTTCATCCCTTGAGGTCCATGCGGCAGGGGTGAGGTGGTGCTTACTCCTCACCCCTGCCGCATGGACCCAAGGGATAAACCATCAACCCTGCTCATTGGTCAGCTTTCCTAGCGGGGTCACACCCATTAGGACAGTGAGAGGATTATAAAGATATGTTTAAGTGTCTGTTATATTTATCTTCACAAAAAAGTGTAAAAGTGAGATTTCTGTTTGGTGTATACCTACGTTATGTCTCCCTTTGTTCATGTATTACAGCCTTTACGTATTTTTCTTTTCAGCTGAGATTTTACTGCCTTGCATGTTTTGCTCTTTTGCAAAGTTTTAATAGTTTTAAAGGGATTTTACGGAGTTTTGAATTTTTATACTCGTGATTGCCCCCTCAGGCCAAAAGCGTAACGGCAGCTTCAATAGTAGGCTCGTGCACGAGGCGCGCATGCTGTACGTGCACACTCCTTAACGAAAATAACAGCTGAGACAGTCATGTGTGTGTGTGTGTGTGTGTGTGTGTGTCCCGGAGGACGGAGGACAGGAGAACACGCAGATAATTAATTAAATAATTTGGTTCTGTAGCTTTCTCTTCAGCACAGCCGACAAAGGTTTATGATGGGTCAGTCCTCCTGCATGCTCAGATCATTCCCTTCCCTTGCTTGAAAAATTGTTCCAAAATGAAAGTTGAACCCACATCTTTTTTATATGTGAATTCAATGCCGTTCAGCGAGTCTCAAATAAAAATTTGGGCATCTTACTGTAAAAAAATATACCATTGATGTAAAAAAGAAATTCTAAATAAACTATGTTCACATCCAGAATCGAACCCAGGACTTCTGCACATGAGTCCAACATCTTACTAGGTGAGCTAAAGCACCAGTGATGTCCTTTGTATCTGTAACATTTATATTCTTGATGACAGCTGAAACAACGTCAAACCAAAGAACAGTTCGGAGTGAAAATGGCTATTTTGTTGCTAATTAGCAGGAAATATCTAGAAGAAAGTTCTACAGAAAGTAGCTAAGGGTCCTCAGAAATGTAGCTAGCTTTGTCACTAGGCGTTAGGAACAGCGACAAAGTGGCACTGCCTCTCTCTCTGCTGCGAAAGCTACGGATAGCAAATGCTACGGGCGATGCCTGAGCGTGAACGCGCATGAAGCAGCCTGCTCGACCCGTGCATCTCTCTTTTTCTGTGATTTTACAGAAAAACAGGCAATCACAGTAAAAATGCCAGGGCTCATTCTACAGGACCAGGGCATTGCAGGAGAATGTATGAAGAAGACATTTATTATTTCTATACATGCTTTGGCTGTCACACTTCCATAATGTCCCTTCAATGTTGTGTATGACCGCGACGGCCATACCAAACCTTTCTCCACTAAATCGGCTGAGAAAATTGAGGATCAACATCCAATCTTATAAGCCACCACATTTTGGTCTTTAGCTGTTTTACGGACGATTGTTCTGCTTGCTTCTACAGTTTCTTTGTATTCTCTTATATAAATTCCTTTCACCGCTGACTTTTCCCTCCGTGCCACAGGTTCAATCACAAAAACCTCAGAAAGAATTTAAAATTTAGGAAAATAATTCAGTATTTCCTCCCCAGAAGACCGTGGCTCATTTTATAATCCCGACTATTGTGAAACTGTAATAAAAAGGAGAAATATGATCCTGTTTTCTTGCCACATAAATGACAGTCAAAATGAAATTCTACCCAGATAAGCCATCAAAAGACGTCTTTTAAATGCATGCTGTTAAAGTAAAACTCTTTGTTTCACTTTCTTTATGTTCCAACCAATGTAAAAAACATCACTCAGACTTGTTTTCAACAAGCAAACCAATCATGTGTGCACTGATGGCATTAAACATCTATTTTTGAGGGTTTACCTTATAGATGAGCCTAACGACCTGTCGCAGTTTCAACCTGTGGAAAACACAGATGTCATACAGCGCAGACACGGCCAGAACAGTCACTCCCAGCTCCTTCCACAGCATGCTACACGCAGCGCAGCCCAAACTACTCAGGAACCACGCAGCAAGCCGCAGGGGCCCGGCATGCCCGCGCAGCCTGCAGTGATGAATGTAACAGAGCAAGGACAGCAAGAAGAACAGTGCGGCGCCTTCATCGGCCCGTCCGACAATGCCTGCCACTGCTTCGGTGTGGATAGGGTGAGAAGCAAATATCAGGCCTGCTAGGAGGCTCCAAAGTCCTGCCCCAAGCAACAGGCGAGACAGAGAGGTAAACAGGATGGTCACAGCGCCGTGGAGGGTCACGTTAACCAGGTGGTAACCCCAAGGCTCCAGCCCACCCACAGCATGATTAAGGCGGAAGGAGAGGGTGCAGAGGGGTCGGTAAGACTTATGGCTACCGCTGTGTGTGAGCAAGGTGCCCCAGAAGTCGTCGTAAAATATGTTTGTCCAGGGGGTCTCTGGAAGCAGGTCCTGATTGGTCTTGATTGCACGACTGTAAGAAAAAACAACAACAAAAAAAAGCTGATTAGAAATATTACAACTCCGGCTATATGTCTGACTTCCATACCAGTGTGTAGTTATTTATCAAACACACTGTTCATAACACATGTTGAAGATCATTTGGCATTAACAGGCTAAAAATAAACTGGCAAGCTTCAGGTTCTGAGCAGCTTAATCATCAAAGGTCAGAACTCTAACAGCTGTGAGCTTTAGAATTACAAGAGAGCCACAACCAATGTCCCAAATGCATGCACACAAGGATGCCTGCTGGTAAACTATTATTTAGAAAATGGCTCTCTCGTGAGCAGCTCATTTGGTCTGCAGCCCAGGAGAGGTACCAGAAGAGCCGAAGACATGTCCTTGTGTCGGGGTAAATAAAAAAACACCAAGTGGAAAATCGTTGCATGCATTGGCAGAAAGGAAACAATCGGACTTCGATTTAGTCAAAGATGAACATGCCTGACCTAACCTAATGTTCCTTCATCAGCCACAAGCTGAGTGTGTCAGTAGGCGGTGGGACATGCAGCAGGGGTCAAAGAAGGAGGGAAGGGAGGCCTGTCTTCCCTCTCCAGGAGGCCATACAGGGATGCTGAAGGCTTGTCTTATCTTTTCATTTCCACCACGAGGGCTTTGACAGACAAACACACTTTCATTCCCTCCCTTTGTGACGTCGGTGCGTACAATTTTCTTAATGAGCCTCCCAAGAGAGCAAGTGGTGGCAAAATCAGAGCAGAGGTGTTGTAATTACACGTGTGATAAATGATACATGACAAGTGATAACGAACCATGCACACCAATTTGTAATCTGTCTTTATGGTAGTCATAATTTACACGCATAATTAGCTCAAGGAGAGACGGGTGGAGAAAAGGTGAGAGTGGTGGTGGGAGGTGTTTCTTTGTGTTTTAGATTTGGGAATGAAAATAACTTGGATGTGAGAAAAGTACACCAAATGACAGAGTCCATGAAAAAATGCTAAGATGAAAACCATTTCTGAAAAGATGATGTTTCAGGGCTCCTTAGACACGGTTTTCTTGTGGACGACGGTCTAAAATAAGCTCCAATTCTGTGAGAACAACCTCATCTATTCACGCCATAAAGCTTTTGGGGGTTTGGTGAGGCACAACCACGTTAGTATTCCTTATAGCAGCTTCTGTACATCTAAGGAAAACTGCCACCAGGCCCCTGGCATTTGGAAAAGGAAGGACAATAATCAGCATTAAAACGTGAGTTTGACCTCACAAGTCACTAACCCTAACCCTAACCTTCTCTCATCAGAAGGATGAAACTTAACAAGCAGAGTAAAGCGAGTAGCTCCACTCAGCTCTATGACTCACATCTGCCCGTTTATTTCCTTTAGCCCATTTGTCAAGTGAGATCTTTACTCTGACCCAGGATGCTCACATAAGAGGTATTATGGTTCAGCAACCTCTCAAAGTCATTTTGGAGACAAGTGCTCTATTTTTCCATTGCACAGTGTGGTGAAGTCAATGAGGCTAGATCCACTGTATACTGGTCCAAAACCACACCAGGTCCTCTTGGCAGCAAAACTCAAAGCAAAGACACTCAGAGGCCCACTGCACTAACAATCTTGGCTTTATGAGCTGTCATACACACTTTTCACCTCTTAGATTGTCGTTTTGCTCATATGTTGCAGATGAAAGTCAGCACCTGACAAACTGCGGTTAACAAGTCAGTAATTGGGGAATGGGGAATGCAAGTTTTGAAGTGAATGAATGATACAGCTTCACTAAAGTATTGTTTCATCTAAAGCAAATCATTAATCCACTGCGGGTGTTCATTATCATCACCATCCCCTACTTCTCTACTAGAGGAGAGGCCAGCTGGAAAGGAAGATTGAGTTTCTGCTGCTGGCCGGGCTCAATTTCTAAGCAGAGTTGGCAGCAAGGAGGAACTCTGTGCACTGAGCCTTTTCCATCCGGGAGCGCATTCCTCCCCCAACCACCACCCTGAACACCAACTCCCAGAAGAGTGACAGTATCGTGTGGTCTCAAACAAGCGAAGCCCCTGAAAAAACTGTTTTAATCTACCATCTTGGTAATCTACCTCAGACTGCAGCCGACAGCCTCTCCACAACAGGTCTGAATTTCATTCATAACAAGTCACCCATTGTGTACGTGTCTCACTGAGCACTGAAACTTTGACAGAAACCTTTAAGTTTCTTTAAATTAGTCAGCAAAACTTATTTTGATCAGACATTGAGTTATTAATCAAGACAACTGAATTGTTGCATCACACTACAGATCAACTGGACACAACTGATTGTACTAAATATTTCAATGATTTGGTGTTTAGCGTAAACATTTGTTACATAAACCCGTTTGACTTTAACTCTATGGCTGAAGCGTCCAGTAAAAGATGTGTCTAAGAGAACTAAACTGTAAAGGTTTTAAAGCCATTGGTGGACCCTAACCCTAACCCTAACTTAACAATGCCCAGCCGTTATTTTTTACTCAAGTCATTCTAATTTTTGTTCCAATTCTCTTAAATTTACCCCTAAACCAAATGAAGGAATATCTTCAAACATGAACTCTAACACACCGATCTCACAACAAACAATATTTAAACACATTATAAACAGCATGGGTACACATACTGACCCTGCGGAACACCACGTGTATTTCTTCTAAGCTACATTGTGGATTTTTACATTTTGAAACCTATTAGCTAAATAACTTAACATGTGATTTGCAACATCTGTTATTCCACATTGTTTACACAGTAATTAATGATTATTTACGTAAATAATTTCACATCCATTATAGCACAATGGTTTTGCCTTATGCAGATTGGATAATAAATAATTAGTTTTTAACCTTTAACCGAACTTTCATTTATTTTTATGAAAATAAATGGTAATATGAGCATCACGTCATCAGAACTAGTACTTAATTAAATTTAAATATCATTATGAGGCTGTGAAGCAGCGCTGCGAGGCCAGCCCCCGGTTTTATTGCCCTTTAAAACAGATGAAAACATAAAAAAAATAGGGAAACTTTCTTCAAAGACAAATGCTGCTGGGAGATGGAATATACAACAGATGAAAACTGATAAGAATTTATAGTCAAATTAAACAAAGAATGGATGGACCCGCTCCCATTCTGAAAACTGAAACCCATGAAGAGAAAGTCAAATGAAGATTTTCACTCGCGACAGTGTGCAAAAGAAAAAGAAATCGGGTCTGGTGGGAGTCTGAGGGAAGTCATCAAAGGTCTGCCAACTATATGTCATCACCTAGATTCAGTTTCTCAAAGCAGCTCAGTGGTATTTTTAGACTGCATGCACACACACCAGGGTAGCTTCTCATGACCATTCTAGCACGTCATTAGAGAAACACCCTAACGGGCCTGATAGTAAATAATAGAGTAAAAATAATCCCATCAGGCCAATCACTGGGATTCAGAGCGATGAGATTAATGTTTTTATGCCAATTGTCAGTTTATTTGTTTTTAATTAGCAGTGATTATTGAGCCTAGCTTCAGAAATGTCAACTAGTTTATAGCTAATTTCATTCATAAATAACTTATGCAAATAGTGGCAAAGACAGAATGCACGATGAGAAAAATCATTATTTATCAAAAAGTGAGAAAATATTTAAATGAGTTCAAAGTGATAAATAATGTTAGTGCAAAGAAATCTTTATAAGAATGTGGAAAATGCACATCATGCACAGTAGAACACAATATAATGAAAAAATGTAAACTCTGAATCTAAACAGTTATTTTTCTGAGACGCCCAAAAATAAAACATATCTTTTTTAAAAACAGAGAAATCTTCAGGATTATTGCAATTTATGCAGGTAGAACAACTCTGGCTAATGTTCAGTAATGCTTCCTGCATTTTTAGGCCCAGAAGCAAAGAATAACTCACCTAAAAATACCACAGCATGGTTTGCTATGTTTTAGATGAAAGAAGACGATGAGGACAAACCAAATTCACAGCTAGGGGTTGTTCCTGTTGTCAACACGCCACCGAGACCGCCATAAAAGTCTTTCTTCCATTCAACAATACTCAAAGGATATGATAGAAAATGTTTTTATTAATCAAATCAAATAAATATTATTTCATCCAGTTTAAGTAATGAAACAGAACGTTTGTGAATGATAGGACTCGGTTACACAGTGTTTTGCCTCATTTTTGTTTCCCTTTGAATTTTTAATTGGAAAAAACTAAAATAGAGCAGCTGCTTGGTAATTTCATGCTGAGGCCACCTGCTGATTCCTTCCTTCAGAAAAGAGAATTGAACATACTTCCTCCTAAAATAACATCTGGCAAATCACTTACATTTAGTGTACAAATTTTAGTTAAAACCTTAACAGTTTTCATTTTGTAACACTTGTTTTCACTTAACCCGTGAATAAGCTGCACCACTGTCACAATCGTCCCATTTTATGGTGAGCAAATACTGGGATGCTCATTCTGGAGCCGGTCAGCCTGTCCTGTGAGGCAAAGCTGGGTGAATAGCTGCAGCCTGGCATCCCAGATCAGCCCTTTGTGCCGTACAAGATGGGCACAGGAGTTTGTGACTTGAATGCTGATCACTAGAGCTAACCTGCCATCTGGTCTGCAAACTAACCAGTGGGTGACATTTCCATCCAGCTAATCTAACTGGAAGTGCAGGGATTCTGGCCGCACGGCAATGGTGAAACATTCCCAGAGGTGTCTCAGAGATCTCCTCCATCTTTTGATACCAAGCAGGGCGTGTAGAGATTTGTATAAATCTAATGGACAACTACAATGTGTTAGGATAAAATATAGAAGTAGTTCACTGAAGGTTTGCCGTGTCTCCCAATAAAGACAAAAGCCTTTTTAATCACCAAATGAAGCCTGAGTGCTCAGACAGATAACTGGTATGTTGGAAGATGGTGTGATTTGTGTCAGAGCAGATCAGAGAGATAAACGCTCGGCTGCATCCAGTAAATCTGTCACCAAAGACGATGGGTGCTGGTGGAGGCCTCGCTGTAAGTACCAAT